CCCCAATGTGGAATGGAGCTTTCTGATTGGTCAACGTCACCAGGCGATATGATAATAAATCATTATTTACAAAATAGAAATACACAAAAGTCAGACCCTGCGTGTAGTACCGAATCATCTCTCTAGGCGACAGAGTCACTGTAGTTCTGAACTCTATTAACAGGTGGCGCTATTGTTCCAACAATTTTCATCGTTCAACGATTCCACAGTGATTGTGTCATCTAGCAAAAATGACGCCTTAGACACGGTGGTCATGTTGATCCTATTAGACACACAACGACACTGACAACAACATAGACGCCCCATTGGACGGAACAGATGGCGTCAGACAAGGGTTAGAACAATACATAACCCAACATCTGCTTGGAGGAAACCCTATTAGCGCACACCTATAAATGCTAACGAGAGTAATGACCTGTTCCACAAGTCCATCGAAATAGGGGTGTTTTCTGAAATATTACATGACCTAAAAAATCTGATACAATGTTGAAAATAAATAATGATCATCATCTCGGTAGTTCTAGTATTACAGCACATACTTCAGGCGACTATGCCAAAATACGACTGCCAAAATACATACCAATGGAACAAAGGGATCATGAGTTACAGCTGCGAACGCGTTTATATCAAACAGCTACAACTGATCACAACACTCCGTCAGAGGTCACTGACCTCCTTAACGAAAAAAAAAACTGCAGAAATGTTACACTATGATCAAGACACATCTAATCTCTTATTAGGGGCTAAACAATATTTCTAAATCATGGGCAGCAAGAATCGACCGATCTGCCAGTTGCCTTGTCCTGCTCGAGTCTAAGGGTCAACGCTCTAGCGGTCACGCTGATGAATGCTTTCAGTATTTTCGACAGTCATGTCATCCTCTATATAACAATTTGCAAACGAACTGTTAACATAAAGCTTTAAATGTTCTTGCGGACATAATCTCAACAGACATTTTGATTTCATGCAAACGCATGAACAAACTTTCGTTCAAATGGTCCCTGTTTTTGTAATGGTACGTCCCACGGGTCAAAAGTCGATAGGACAACGTTACTGACCTGTAACCGTCTCTGAAACACTGTTAGTTAGACCGGCCTCGTCGGGCACGAACCGTCCAAAATGCACACGTTAACGGAGGTCGCGGCGACGGTTCGACATTATGTGGATCTCCCGACGGTCCTGGTGGCGATGTCGACCTGCCTGCTTTCCTACTTGTACCTGCAGCGTCACAGGAACCTCCCGCCCGGGCCCCGCGCGTGGCCTATCGTCGGGAATATTCCGTACTTGGCTTCGAAAGCGGTATGTGTATATGTGTGTGTGCGTGTGTGTCTTAGTCTCCAAGCAGATCCCTATCGGTGGCAAAAAGACAGTATCAAATTGGCCAGGCAGTATCCATTAGCCAGAGAAGCTCCGCGGCCACCGACGTTGGGGTCAGGACAAAAAAAACGGCCATATATATAACAAGTTGAGTCTTAAAAAAGACTCTGGCGACGATTTTTTCTGTAATATGTTGGTTGGTGGCCCCGATTTTATTTGTGCATCTCCCGTCAACGTACCAGCCCACCCCAGGTAAATATCGTACAATCCCTGGTGTCGGTCAGTGACCTAAATTAAAACACAGCATGTCTCTCCTATACCTTATGGTGACCGTGCCTCTGGACCAAGAGGTTGGGAGTTCGAATCCCGACCAAACATACACAATGTCGCATATCTTGCTAACTATATTCAACATGCATTCAATTTAGCTTGATAAACAACGGATGTATTTTGAGTTTGAGTATTGCATGCGGCTTCTTTCCACCATCATCAACCTCGGCTGACGTGTGCGGGACGGTACTCGTGTTAGACCTGTAACACTTTTAAGAAACCATATTTCTTTGTTGCCATGTATTGCCTGGCG